CTACTAGCTAGTGTCAGTGACATTCCCAACATAACAGCAAAACACACCATGAAGAACAAGTCATCGACCAGATACACACAGTGGTGCTTGATCGAGTTTTTAGAGAAATACTGATGAACAACTGATAAAGAGTTATCTGATAAATAGAAGATTGCTCCCAAGACTTCTAGAACTTACAACTATGGGCATGCAGCAACCAAGCTGACATTTCCCCGAGATAGTATGAAAGACCATATTTGATATTTCAATAGAAAATGCTTTCCAGACCTATAAACAATAGAATTGTTAGTATTGGACTTTCATACTGATTCAATAGGCTGATACAGATGTCGTGGCTGACAACAGTTTCTATCTGCAGGATTATTCAAGCATAAAATTGTTGTCAAGGCAATCCCAATCAAAAGCAGCTGGGTCCATGCAAAACACATGGTGTTCACATGACGAAGCTCTCGGCATACGTAGATGCAAGCAAAGAGGATTTTACTGCACATTCATGATCAATTGAGGCACACATAAATGACTGTAATTTTTATATCGCCATTTAGCTACACTCTGCAAGAAAGAAAAAGCCCTAGTTCTACATAGAGATCAAAAGAGAAGCTATTGTCTTCCAAATTACCATAGAGCTCTAATGCAAAATTGGTACAACAGTCTGTGGAATGCTGATAACATTTTGTGCTGCAGCTAGCTACAGATTGTCTGAAGTACGGAAAAGTCAAAGCATAGGTGATTTAAAATTAAAGATGTTGTAGCATGGTTGAATTTTACTGGTTTGGGCTGAATTTTCAAAGCTTGTGATTAAGAGAACTGATAGCTCTGAACCAGTAATCTCTAATTGCCAACCACACGACAAGAGAATCAGAAAATAAGAATGTTTCTTTCAGACTATAGTTTCTTTTAAAGTTTGTTCATGCAAATAAAATTTCAAAAGTTGAACTTCCAGAACTGGGTGATTGGGAATGGGGCCATGAAGTCCTATAGCTGGCTCTGAAATCCATCAGTATTGTGCTAATCACCAAGCAATTACTCTTCATTTATTATTTCACACCTGCAACTTTGGAATGCTCCACCCAAAATATCTCAAACAAGTTAATATGAAGTAAAAATCCTTACAAATTCAAGTTTCATGGTCATTGTTCTGTTTTGATATGTACAATTTACATCCAGGATCTCACAAGCCTAAAGCCAGAATTAGCCTGTTAATTCCGCTGTGCCCTAAGCAATACCAAAATGATCTGAAGAAATCACTTGCCAGAACAAAAGCACACTTTATGATATAATAAATCATATAGAAACAAATCAGTTAAGTTATAGAAATGGACTGCACTGAATTGTCTTCTTAGATTAAACATCCTTAATATAATAACTACATATACAACGGTACCCACAGCCTAAGCTGTACCAGCAAATGGCACACTGGGATCACACAGTACATTTTTTCTGCATCCATCAGCAGATTTTTTTGTAGTATTAAATACTATTTTGAATTTTAAATGCAGTTTACATTTGTATCATTATTAGAAATAGAATTTCTTTTAGTTACAAAAGATTGTAAGAAAATCTGTCTATAAATATGCTAACTAGGAAGTGGCACTTTAAATATATGTTAATGTATAAATACAGTAGTATGTCTTCCTCAGCTTTCCTTAAAAAAGGAAAATTTAGGAAGGTTTGCCATTAAGAACAAAGGATTAAACAAATGACTTGAGGAGTAAATGATAAAATATGGTACCTACACCAAGCAACACCAGAAATCATCCAGTAGTTCTTAATATATAGAAGCCCTCATAAACCTTAAAGCCTAGCCCTTACCAAAACCTATGTTTATTATAAAAAAAAAAGAAAATAAACCCAAAAGCTAAATGTAAGAGAGATAAAAGGAAAGCAGAGATAAGAGGAAACTGATTTTCATGTTCAAACAGGAGTTCCTTTCCATTACAGGTTCTGAAGCTGAACCAGAACTGCCCAACTACGTCTATGTAGAGAGCTAACGTATGCATGTCTTTGACTAAGTGACAAAAGAAAGCAAGCAAGGTGTGCTGATCCATGATATTGGAGGAAACAGCAGTTAATTACCCATCTTGAAGAGAGAAGGGCAAATGCTGCAAACATGCAGAAACATATTCATATACATATATTCAAAGACTATTTATTTCTTCATATTTTTAAAGGAAACTGCTGTAGCACTAGTCAATTATATGTTGTCCTTCTATAAAGATTCATACAAGCAAGTTTTCATTTGAGTGCTACATTTGAAAATTTTTTCCTACAATTTAGAGCAGAAGTTTTCAATCTTAAGTGAAGCAGCACATAGTGACTAATAGCGGAGAGTCCATTGACTCCTTAACTAGAGACCTGAAAGAGACATAATGTTCTAATAAGACATGTTCACTAGGATACCTATGGTTGAACAGAATATGAGAAAGATGAAGTTAATATTTTAATAGTAAACCATACATACTCCAGCAGTCTACCTTTATCAGGCAATAATTTTCTTTCCATGTCTAAAAAAAACAGATGAGAAAAAGGTTGATTTTTTTAAACAAACAATCAAAAATCAGTAAATTCTCTTCTCATTGGTGGGAATATAAAACCTATTCAGAAGCACATTAAAACTTCCTCAACAGGCAGAAATAATGTCATTTGTTATGTTATCATTCAGAATTAACTAACTCAACTCAGATTTTGAGCACTGAGCATCGAATTCTTACAGAACAATTTATGATTCAGTTAAAAAGAATCAAAACCTGTTGAAAAAAATTGGACACATGGAATGAAAGGGCAATTTGGTCATTGACGTTGGAATTTGTCAGAGCTAAGTATCAGCATAGCAGTTTATATCTGACCTAGTCACTACAGGCGTTTTTTGTACTTTTTCTCAGGTCTTCACTACTAATCTGAGTTATTATAGATGTTTACTTCAGAATAAGATGAATTGTGCCCTAGACTTCATTGACATGATTTCCCCTCACACTAAGCAGAAACCAGTGCAATTAGTGTCAATATGTATGTCTATATCTGGTCAAAGAAATTCCACCTAGGCTCTCAATGAATATTATGTTTAAAAACCTCTGCCCTTCTCTCTTTCATACATTCAATAAAACTGAAAGCACAGATGAACAGTCTAAACAGTTGAGCGATTTCATTCTATCAAAATGCTCCTTGCATTTGAAGCCGAGTTCTCCGTTCCAATAATGGCATAAGACATCATGCACACTGCAACATGTTATTGCCACTCCCTACGTATCTGCAGACCAACCTCAGCTCCAGTGTAAGCTGGTGTTAAGGCAACTGATCTGTGTTAGCTTTTACTCTCAGTGTCTGTAGAGTGTTCAGCCAGCCTGCAGAAGCACAATTAAAGGTTGCAAGGGTGACAAAATGCATTGTGGAATTATTTGAAAAGGCACAATACGTGAAGACAACACAGTATATAACAGGGCACGAAGTACACTTGAAAAGAATAAAACAGCTCTGAAAATAAAAACTCTGAATTTGTCACATATTTCAACAGAAAGACATAAAGAATGAATTCAAAATGCAAGAGAAAGACCTTTGTATTTTAATCAGGTATCTTTGTATTTTAATCAGGTGCCATCAATGATTTTTTTTTTTTCATTTTAATTGCATGTAAAATACATTTTATAATAGTGATGCATATTACATAAATTCAGTGTGGTTTGTCTGATGGGAAACTAGTGCAAATCTATTAAAATCACGCATTAGTAAAATTTAGAGATTTGGATAAGTCTTACTCATTTCCATTTTAGTTCTTTTCTTTGAGCTTACTCTTATTTTTTTCTTACAGTTTCTTAGTTCTCATTTTTACAAAAAAATGAGAACAAAGGGTAATAGAAAAAATGCTGCATGCACCCCCAAGATGAAAAGGTTGTGGTGAGCAACATGAAGCTGGTGATTGGTCACTAGTGGAGTCCTCCAGGATTTGACATTGGTGCCAATATTGTTTAAAGTCTTCACAGAGGACCCGGACAATGGGACAGAGTGCACCCTCAGCAAGTTTGCTGGTGATAAAAAAACTTGTGAGGAGTGCCTGGTAGACCAGGTGGGTGTGTTGACATTCAGAGGGACCTGGACAGGCTGGAGAAATGGGACAACAGGAGTCCCTTGAAGTTCAACAAAGGGAAATGCAAAGTGCTGCAAATGGGCAGCAATAACCTCACACACAAGTCTGGTCTGGGGGCTGACCCTCGGGAAGCAGCTTTGTGGAGAAGGACCTGGAGTCCTGGTGGATACCACTTTAAATATAAGCCAGCAGTGTGCACTTGCAGCAAAGAAGTCCAATGGCATCTTGGGCTGCATTAGCAAGACTTGTCAGCAGGTCGACAAAGATGACCCTTCCCATATACTCAGCGTTGATTAGAGAACTGCAGTGCTGGGTCCACCTCTGGGCTCCCCAGTACATGAGAAACATGGACATACTGGAGGAAGTATAGCAAAGTGCCACAAAGGTGATTAAGGGACTGGAGGATCTGTTGTACAAGGGGAGGCTGAGAGAGCTGGGGGTCTGGAGCAGAGAAGGCTCAGGAGGATCCTACCAATGTGTATAAATACCTGATGCCGTCAGGGGAAGGGAGTAAAAAAAGACAGAGTCAGAAAGTCTTCTCAGTGGTGCCCAGTGAGAGGAAAAGACACAACAGACACAAACTGAAACACATGAGATTGGACTTAAATACAAGAAAAAAGTTATTTACTACTCTTTACTCTGAGGGTGGTCAAACGCTAGAACAGATTGCCCAGCAAGGCTGTGAAGATATTCAAAACCCAACTGGAGAAGATACTGTGCAACCTGCTCTAGCTGACCCTGCTTGGACCTGGGGAGATCTAGTTGATCTCCAGATCTCCCTTTTGAGGTCTTTTCACAGAATCTCAAAATTTCTGTGATTCTGTGGTATGTGTGGCTGCCACACTCCAAAATATCTTCCTGAATCTCTCCTTTTCATGCCATCTTCCTTTCTTCTTCCTTCAAAGTTTACCTGACTTACCACATCTTTTCTGATTTCTTTATCCTTCTTGTCTTCCTTTTTTATGCCTAAGACCTTGCCAGACTGACTGTTCTCTCCTACACCACCTGATCTCCATTTCAGAATTATCCAAGATGGTCTGAAAGTGTTATTTCGTGAGTGAGTTTCATTGGCTGACCAGATATATCCTATCGCTCCTCAGATAAAAAGAAAAAACTTAAGGACTGGAAAGGGGTAGCACAATTAAAATTTTCCCACAGAGAAGAATTTTCACATGTCTCAGGGAAAGAAAAATAAGAGAATTTATGCTTTTTCCCATGCTGTTACTCATACATACATTCAGTATCTGGAAAAAAACCCTCCTCCTTTTCTTCTAATCCATCCTTCCATGTTCTCATTTCTTGTGATGCCTTTATCATTTGCACATATTTATGCTACTGCTCTTTTAAAATACCTTCCTATTACATTAACAGTGTCTACCTCCCTAAGTTGTCTCTTATCCTATGTGTAGACTGTAAGCTTTTTAGGACAGGCACCAGTATTTTTCTATCTGACAGCACTGGGGTCTCTTAGCTGTTAAGACTAATGATAGATGATCTTGTCTGTGCCTTGGCCCAGATACACCTTGTGTTCATCACATTTTTCTCTGTTTGTAAGAGGTGTTCATTGCATTTAAGTGCATAGGAGTTAAAACATAATGTATAATATTCAAAAGCAATATGAAAGACTTTGCCGTAATGATGGCTTCCAATGACATGTTTTCCCCCCTCAGAAAGGTCTATTCTTTCTACTCCATTGATAATAAATGATCTAATTCATGCTGAATTCTCTACTGAATAAATAAATTAAAAAAATAAAAATAGCCCAAATATTCTGATTCATGACAACGTGGTCATGTTGAGTCCTTTTTAACTTAAAATAGCTTTGGAAAAGCTCAATATTTAGATATATATATAACAACTATAGGGATATGATTTCACACGGATACAATCTTGGACACTCACTCTAGATTAAAAAAGTACAAGTGTAGGATAATGACTTTACTGGACAGGACGTATAGTTAGGATTACAGAACACAGTCTATCCGCATGTAGTCTGAAAGGTGTTCCTGAAGTATCTGTCCTTACAGACAAAGTGAAGGTGTGAAGCATCTTTATGAGAAAAATACATCTCAGCAGAAAGGAGGGTCAATTTGTAAAGCTATCAAGGACATTTAACAACATTATGCCAGGGAATACGCATGCATGTATGTTAATATATGGTGAAAATATGCATTTTTATTGTCACCCCTTGAATTGAAGAATAGAAATACTGAGATCTGGCTTGTATACTACCATAAAGCAGGCTTGTCTTTGGAATGATCATGCTTTCTGTTTCTCTGTCCTGAGTGACTACAGGTTTCACATAATAAATGGTAAATATAGATGAAAGACAGATGTTAAATAACAGAACTGGCAACAAAGTTCCATATGTTGAGAATGGTATTGTCCATTATGTGACTGCCAACATAACTCTTAATGATATTTAATTCCCCCAAAGATTTCTAAAGTTCAAGCCTTCTAATAATTCTAAAAGTTTGTTTAAAGGGGTAAAAAAAAATGGTGACTTTCACAGAATGAGCAAAATGACCCCTATGTGTTTTCTCCTTAACACATAGTTTAACCACCAGGTATCATTTATGAAATGTTTTAAGGAATCCACCTACACTGTGGGTTGCACAGTCTCCATTATTTCCTGCAATAACACATGCTGGCATCACATCTAACAAAATAGTTCCAGAATAAGCAACATAACAAATTGCTGTTTTAGCTCTTGAATCAGTTTGTATACTATGTGGTGTTTTTCATAATCTTCATTGCATAGCACTGCAGATTTCGTGATGACATTTTGTTCACTGGAGCTGCTAAGGGGATGCAGAACCACTGAACTGAAGTCCTGACCAATGTGCTGTGACTGACACGTAATTCAGCATTTAACCACTGTTGTACATGACATATTGGAGGTGATATGAACATGACCCTATCCTCAGTGGATTTGGGATCAAGTATTAATCTCCAGCAGAGAGCTTTGAAATTCTGCCAAAAAAACTTTTGTTCTGAATGATCACAAGTGCAGGGACTTAGTAACAGAACTTATTTCTAGTTATGAAAGTTTAACTAATGAATTATATTAATTAGTATAATTATTCCCTCAGAACTGCATATTAGAATCAGAATATTTTACTTTTACAGGAATCATTTACAAATGTGTGAAGTCACACAGTGCAATACATTCTGATGGTATTCTGGCTTTCAGAAATCATTTTGCTCTTGAAAGTTCTATCAAGCAAATATAAAACACAGACTAACCAGAAAGGAAAGAAAATCCAATTGATGAAATTTTTAACTTGGCATATTTAACAGAAATTTTCATCCTTTCGGCTACCCAAAATTTTCTTCCCCCCCCTCCCCCTTTTTTTTTTTCTCCTGCTGTGCATACATGCTTGATTCTACAAAGGATAATTTACACTAAGGATGATATTCTACTGCTGGTCACATCAATGCTGACCTGTAATAACCGTTTTTGCATTTGGATAGAACTGGCTGCCTTTCTTTGAATGCCATGGGTTGAATAGGGCTCTCAGTGTTTTGTGGAACTGTCAGATTTTGGGCTGTTTGTCAGTTAATATCAATATGTGGTTTTTAGAATGCCGTTAAGGTTAGTACTTGTAACATAGAATACATCTGTGTATACATGTACATACATACAGGTATCCATGCATTCTATGAAATTAATCCAGGAAGTCACAAACAATGTGTAAAGCTGAGGAAACTCCTGCATATGCCATTTCTTTTGTGTGTACAGCTAGATTTCTGATATTTTCTTACTTATGCCAATATAAAAACTGATTTGTACTACTACTGACCTTGGATACAAGACAGTTCATATATCTTGTCAGGGATCTAATTCAAAGCCTGATGGAAAGACTCAGACTGGATTTAAGGCACCTTGGAAAATCCTTCAAACTTACACAGCATAAGATAAAAGCTTTTGAGAAATACATTCTAAAGCTTAAAAATATCTTTTTTTCTTCAGTTACTTTTTCCAATCACAAGATCATATTTTGTAAACAATAAATCACTCTTTCTATACAACATCCCCCTTTCTGTTCTGAACATACCAACAGGTTAACAGCAGGAAAAACTTCTAAACATATTTCTATGTTTAGAAACACATATATTTTTGTAAATAACTTTTGACATTGCTCCTATTCTCTCATGCTTCGTTTCTTTCATCATAGAAACAAAAGTACTCAGAATATTTTCTTTCTTTCCTTCTTTCTGTTTTTTTTTTTTTGTAAGCAAACACGAAAATAAGGTAATGATTATTTTTTTAAAGCAATCTCATTATAATCAGGATATAAATCTCCATAAAAACACATACTGTCTATAATAAAGGGCTATAACAAAGATAGAGAGAGAAAGCCAGACAGACATAGAGGTATCTGTCTATAAAAAACACAGCAAATATGTATCTTAAGGAAAGTACTACACATGTCTGCAAGGTATTTTTTTTTTCATATACTATAATCGGTTAGTGAAAATCCATTTACAATGCTAAACTTACTGCTTCAGAAGTGGTTTCGAATGAGAAGTTTTCAGCATCAGTAGAAAGGTCTCTGTTGTTTCACAGCTTTGGCTTTTTTGCTGTGGCTGGCTTTGGCTTGTTTGGGGAAGGGGAGTTGATTACAACTAAATATGCAAATTGTATCTCTTCATACACAAGAACAGTCATACTTTGTGAGATACTAGACTACCCTTCAGTGAACTTACAACCTTCCTTCAAAATTTCCAGTACAATAGCCACATATTTAAAATGTGAGCTTAATCAAATCTGTTGACTTTACCAAACACTCACACAGATTTCATCTGCAAAGGAGTACCTTTTACCCACACAATAATTTAAAGGATATTATTTCAGTCTGAAGACTCATTTAAGCAGAATAATTGGCATCAATAGCACTTACCTGATTGTGTGGAATAGAGGTTATACAGCTATTTTCCAGCTCAAAACCATGCAATAGCCATTTTAAAAAAACAATGCAATGTTTGAAATTTATGAAAATTAGGTTTATACTAACCATGCTTTTGTAAGAGGCTTCTAGACACAAGTAGCACAATTTGCTACATTGTTTCTGGTTAAAAGAATTGTGCCATATGTAATTTGGATATTGGAGATACTGCATATAGACTAGGAGGTTTACATCAGTTGATATGTAACAGTTTAGCCACTACAAAAATTAATGAAGGCACGAGTATTGCATTCTGTCCTAAAAGAATGACAAGCCTCTTTTCACTAAGAGAAATTGGTTACATGACTACCATAGTCTCACGAACCTATTGAAAGGACTAAAATTAATCAATATCACACAGAAAGATGGATCGAGCATGAATCAATGTGGCAAGCACAAAAACAAACAGACATGGAATTAAACAAGAAAAAAAAAAAAACAACAAAAAAAACCCCAAACAAAACCAACAAAGATTGTTGCTTAACCTGTTTTGTCAGAGCTGGTATTGATGGTATTGGTAGTGATGGAAGTGAAGGTAGTCTTTGCGCTGTCCTTGGTAGTAACAGATTTCTGCTTATTTTTCATGGCTTCCAGTGCTTTGAGCTTCTTGGCATGTTTAGTGCCTTTGTAGTGGGCCGCAGCCTGGCTCTACAAAGGAGAACAAAATGAACCATGCAATCAGGCTCATTTCTAAACTGGCATTCTCTGTATTAGTACAAATACAGACTACCTTTCAATAATGGGTACCATTCACATTATCCAAGTAGTGACCAAACAGAAAGTTATATTTAGAATGATGCTTGGAAAACAATGGAAAAAATACTCAACCCCAATTTAATAAATACAGTATAGTACTGTGTAACAGTATATTACTTTCAGACCAAAATAAGGTTGTTTTAGTCTACCATGCTACCATTATTTTTTCTATAAAGACTTTTTTTGCTTTCGCATAAAAAACCCCCTAATTCTCAGGCAACAGGGAGGAAGGTACTCTCCTCCCAGTAGCTTTGCAGTTCTCCAGTTTCTATTCCAAACTAAAGATTTTATCAAAGCTTCCTTCAAAGAACATTTTACTATTAACAGTGGTATCAGGAACTTCTCAGCAAAGACTGACAGTAAAAAACAAACAAACAAAAAAACCCAAACCAAAACCAAATCCCAAACAAAAGAAAGTAAAACATAAAACACTCTCTTCAAAGCTCATCACCAAAGATTTAACTGAATGTGAGGCAGACATGCAATTAGCTGGCTTTCTTAAAAAAAAAAAAAAAAAAAAAAAAAAAAAAAGGACTACTTTTTTCCAGCTGCTACAAAAGGTAATGTTTGAAATTCAAAGTCAGGAGCACCCTTTCAAAGGAGAAAGCTCACACAAATCCTACCACAGTCTCAAATATATTTTGGCTACTTGGTATCATTAAGCTAAAATAGGTTTGTAAGTGCATTTCTATTAAGATTTCTGCATTATATTCGAAATATCTTTATTATTCTAAGAGTTAATGTCAACTTTTCATTATTTAATTTATGTTGCAAATATATTTTAAGAATAGAATTTGAAGTATAAGATTATACAAAACCCACTGCAATTAGTATGAATATTCAGAGTTTATTTCTTCTCTAACTATCTAAACTCCTATAAGAAAGATTAATAAGTTGACAACCTGAGAAATTCTTTATATTTTTATTGCAGAACTTCAAACTTTATTCAAAGCAACTCCTTTCTTACTTGAAAGATAAATTATTAAGCCTCTAGAAAAACAGTCAAAATTTAGCTCTCTACAGAATTGAACAAATGAAAAGCATCTGTGCTGGGTCAGCCCAAGGACCCACAAAGGCAAGTATTTTGTTTCTGGCATGAAACAATAACAGATACTTAGAACATAAAAGAAAGGTAAATGCTTTCCATTATGGAATCAAAAGAAGAAAAAATCATGTATGTAATTTAGTGGCTACAAACTCAAAGGATAAAAGGGATAAAATGACACAGTCACTCAATTCACTAAGTCACTTTCGCAGGTAGAATAATCCTGCATCATATGGCATCTGTTAGTCATTAGACCTCTATTTAATGTCATTTTGGGAATTTTGGGAAGAGAGGAAGTTCTAGTGAATGTCACAAGAAAGTGTATATTAATTAATCTCAAGATTTATGATTTTCATCTTTCATGAAAAGTCATGATTCCCTCCAGATGCCTGAGATTTGAGAAGCTCAAGATGAGGAGGAAAGAAGTGAGAGACCTTGTCTAAACCAATAAACACATATATGTGTATGTGTATACATGTATAGATACATACACATGCATACGGTCTTGTATATTGAGATGCATCATTCAGTTTGGTTGAAAAGCTAGTTTCTCTATACCTAAAATAATGTAAATATTGCATTAGGTACCCTTATTGAAAGAACACTGGACAGTGAAGTTATTAATTAGAAACAACTTGAACAGAAACAGCACAATCATGCACCTTTTACAATTCTCAACACATAACATTGAGACATACTGTAAGCCAAATACAAACAGTCAAGAGATGTTACTTATTGTTAAACTGAAAGACCAGTGTCAAGTTATGATGATGCATTAAAAAAGACATTATACAGTACATCCTTATGTCCCGATTAAGTCAACTATTTTTACAGCTTCTAGTCAAATTTAATTATCGGATCCAGATTCTGATTGTACTTGTTTTCCCTAATTAATAGTGTCATTCTTCAAATAGCAGAAAGGCCATCAGAACATGGTTCTTAATACTGAATTATGAATGTTGATATTAGTTTGATACATAGCTCAACATTCTTCACAGAATTGTTGGTGAAGCACCCCAGGTTTATCTCTCTTGCATCCATAGCTCTCTTCCCTCCAAATTCTCAGAGCTACAGCTCCACAAACCTCAACTCAAGCAGTGTATTGGATGCAGGAGGAATACACAATGAGGGCCTATGTTGAAATTGATGACCTTTTCAGTGTTCTGAAACATATGAATCAAATTGCTTCAAAGTAGAAACATATTGCTCAAATTTACAAGTACGATGGCTGCTATGCAGAGTTGTCCATCACTCACTTCCCACAGAACGCTGCAAATTTACCCAGCCTCTACATAAAGATCTTTATGCCTTTTTAATTTGAAAGTTTAAATCTCCATCCTCTGTGGGGACACGAAGACATCTGAGCTTGTTTCAATATAACTGTAGCTGGCACATTAATGGTAGTTCTATGTGAGAGCAGACAGATTGCTCCTAAGCATTTAACCAGCTCCAAATTATCTTGTGCTGAACTTTTACAACTGAACTGGAACCCTAAAAAAAAATAAAAAAATAGGTCTGCCATTATCTCATTATCTTTCCTTGTAAGAGAAAGATGTAGGAAATGGAAAAATATCCATAAATATCTTTTTCAGCACAGTGACATAAAATGTGGTACCTCACTGAATCATTTCTGGCAGCCGTAAGAAAACGAAAATAATCCTCACTGCTTAAATGGCATTTACTTGTATTTTATAGAACTCACTACTTAAATGGTATTTACTTGTAGGTTAAAATACAAAAATAAGATAGATCATAAAATGTAATTATTCCCAACTTCCATGCAGAATTAAGAAATATTGAGAGAGAGCAGAAGAGTGAAAGACAACTTAGTCCTACTTTTTGGTGCCAACCATGATGCTTAATTGAGTGAAAAGACTGTACCCCTACAGAAAGGTGAGAAGGGGTCGTCTTCTGGAACATTTCAGAGCTCAACAGTTGCAAAACTCAAGAAGATAATAGATACACATTTATATATTACCTTACCAAGTTGTGCTCAGTCAAGTTATGAGCAGAGGTTACAGGTGGAACCGTGCATCTACAGAAACCAATGGGAATCAAGAGAGGATTTCCCTTTCCGTGTTTTGTAAAGGGGTACTGACTTTTATAGTTGCTCATCTTGAGGGAAGCCAGTACCCTTTGAGAAACAACTGTTTGATCTAAAATCAGATGTCCTCTCAAATGAAACAGATTCAACACAATCGTAAAGGAAAAATTCCCTATTACTACAGAACACTTTGTAATCATAGTCAATCAGCTATCCTAAAAACCCTCTAATATTACATTCTGGGTTTTTTGATTACAAAAGAACAAATTAGAAGAATATCTTGAGAAAGAGATTACTTTCTTCTTTGATCATACTTTCTAAGATTGCTTCTCACATCATGATTTCCATGTTTGATACACAGAATTAACCCTAACACTGTGAAGACAAGTCACTGTCAGCTAATGTGTGACCCAATCAGTGATGAAGCATGAGAAATATATCAAATATTGCTGGTGCAACATTGCAGTGAACTTTAAGAAACCATATCCATTCCTGAAAAAGACATCTAACATGAAAGTAAAAAGTAGATTACTACTTCATATCTCAAGTTGAAAACTCAAGTATCTGTAACTAAATTTTGAGGGCTCTGATCCTGCAAATTACATGTACACGAACTTTGGTCTATGGGAATTACTTCAAGGAAACGGCAAGATGTCTGAATAGCAAATCACTTTTCAAGGTTATTTGTAATAAAGTCCTGCCTATTTGAGCAGTACAAGTCAGTTTAAGCATCTCCTTTTGTAAAACAAATAATTTCCTCTGGTTCCATGTATCCATCTTGAATAATTAGGGACCCTTCTAATCCTTACATTTTGTAACCTTCCCAAATTGTTAGAATATAAAGCACGTATTTATCTACATAAACATTTATTGTATATATATATATGTGTCATAAACACACAGACATACACATACTATAAAAGAATAAAAAATTCTATACGCAGGTGTGAGCAGTTAGAAATAACAGCCATAGAGTCAAAATTCATCTGTATTTTCTTTGCTGAAGTGTAATATTGTACCACAATTACCATAAGGACAACTTATTACCAAGTAAATTGCAATGTGTAAAATACGATGAGAAAGATGAAGTATTTTAAACAATCCAGACAGCATTCTCTTACAATTAGAGTCATCATATCTACATGGAAGTCTTCAAAATAAGTTGGTTTGCCTGACTAATGTACTTCAGTGAATCATGTCTTCTCACTTATGTTCATCAGACATCAGCCCAACAAAAACATTGTGCTTAATTTTGTGCACTGAGACAAAAAAAGGTCATTTCCTATTCACAGAGTTTTCAACTTAGCAGCACTGCATCTTCTATCTTTTCCATATAACTCCTAGTCCACCTCATATTATCAATCTTCTTACAGATCGTTTTCCTGCTTCTGTCATCCCTTCTAGGCAGCATCTTCATAATAAAGAAAAGAAAAACTCAAAGAAAATATTTTTTTTTAAAAATTGTGTAATGAATATATTCCACTGATTCTTTTTTTCAAAAATTCAATCCAACTGTACTGCATTATGTCTTTCTCATTTCACAATGCACTGTGAAAGATGTCCACTGTGAAGAGTGCTCTGCTCCATGCTGTCATCTGGTCAATTGTAGCAACGGCACAGTCTGTCTGCACTCTCGGAAAGCCCCCCAAAAGGGCTGAGACTACTGAAAAGTCCTTTTTGTCCATCTGAGATTTCAGCAGATCGTGTTATCTTTGTTTTTACCAGCTACTGGGTGCTACTGTCACCTCTGCTGTAATTCCCAGTACAATAGGAGCTATCACATCTGCAACTGATGTCAGAATC